CATTGTACAGTGGCATTAGGTGTCGAAATGTGCACCTCTGCCTACCCCTTCGGGGATAAAGAGGCGTGATGTTATGTTATGTCAATTGATATTTCAATTCTTATTTTTACTAGGAAAATAATACCAAATATTAAACAGTCACATTTGCATTTAATATAACAAAAAAAAAAACAATAAAGAAACAGCCTATATTTTATCAAAAGTCCATGCCAGTCATGAGTCGTTAACGTTAAACCGTTTATCAATTTGTTAAATGAATCGAATTATAATTTTTAAAGAATCTATCGCTTGTACAAGTAGCTGTAAGGCGAACCGTAGACTAGAGATGCGACGGATGCTACTGGAGGTACAGAAGCTACGGGGCCAGCGTTAACTAGAGACGCCAATTCCTCAACAGCATACGAAGATCCATAGAAACTAGGTAAGGTTAGAGGTGCAGAGTACGCCCCAGAAAGAGCTGTTGAATAACTGGCAGGGTACGTAGTGGAGTACGCTGTTGAATATGCTGCTGGGTAGCTGGAGTATGCCGTCAATGGAGCCACGGCCGAGTTGTAGAAGTCTGTGTATGCTGTTCGAGGTGCTGTATATGATAATGGTCCATAGTTGTATATGTATGGTTTAGCTGATGCTGATGCGATGAGCGCGAGTACTGCAATCTGGAAAGTACAATAGGTTATTTTACCGATAGCTTTCGAAGTCCCGCTTCAAGTATTCATATGTATATTTGTAATTTATTTGGTAAACTCTGATTTATAATAAAGAAAGAGAAAAACCGTTTATTATGCCACGATAAACATGCAGAGAACAATACTAGACAGACAGACAATAATTATATATCATTTGGGCGATTTGTTAGGGAAGCAAAATAGAAAAATTATTTTCTCATTTTCAAATTACCTATATAAATTATGGTCAAAAATTTTATGATAATTAGTAGTCACCGATTGGGTACTTGTGACTAGTCAAATTTATTACGTTTTTCGAATTGTCAAAAATGACAGTTTTCTATGAATTTTGAATGAGATTATGTATTGTGACGTCACGTTTTTTCAGCGTCAAACAGCAACTTATTTTTTTAAAAGTTTTGTAGGAAAAATACTAAAATTAAGTTATTCTTGAAATCAATTAAAGAAAGTGTGATTATTTTTTAATATTTTATTGTATTGAACAGTCGAAATAATTTATTTTTGATTAAGGCAAGTACCTAATTTAATTCAGATGAAGGGTTAAAAACGGCCCGGTATGTAGCCTACCACCCCGTAGGGGTTCATTAATATAGGCTGGGTCTAAAAGTTGCAGTTCACTTCTAACATAAGAAGTCTAAACAAGATACACAAAAGAATAAACACAATAACCTAAGCAACCAAAACATACCACTTACCAAACTAGACTTGGACATTTTGAAATATTTATTTGAATATTTATTTCACTTGTTCAGTTTGACACTCCTCAATTTGCACTGACTGAGAAGAAAAATATCCTACCTTATATATTTGGCCGAGTTTGAAGACAAACTTGGAAACAAATGAATATTTGTATGGAAGAAATTATTCTTTCATAGTTTTGGCAAGGTCGTATTGAATGGTTCTTAGGAAAACAAAAGAATACATAATCGTAACGAAGAGGTGTTAAGGCAGATATACACGTTCCAAAATTGTGAGCTATTGTCTTGCAGTGTAGCGACTCGGGCGAAACGCACAAAAGCCTAAGAATTTATTACAGCCTCTTTACAATGTAAAATATTTTAATTAGCCATAAAATTGCTAATAATTTGGAGTCTAAATAGTCTCGGAATCTGACAGCTACATCTGTGTACTTCTATAGCGACATAGATAAAAATAAAATTACCATGTATACTGGCCACTAGCATGCATCCTCTTAGGCAATAGGTCATCAAACGCATTAACAGTAATATGAAATCATTACTTCTTTCTTAAAACTCTTTAGGAAAACATTGAAAACAAAAGCCGGAAAATCCGACTGCTAAGTAGCCAGTTATACCTCTAAATTCCAAGATTTAAGATTATGTTTCTTATTCTGAATTTTATATCCTTTCATTAAAATTCAAATTAAATAAATTATGCTTTATTAATAATTAATTAATATTCAACAAATTATTTTCAGTGGTTGCACTAGCTTATTTCTCGACTTCTTTCACGTCATCGTAGATCACGAAATATTTCTTTGCAATCTGATATGTAGTTAAAGATAACGATAAAGATATATTTATTTGTATAAACATGTAGGGGTAACATTATACATATCAATGCAAATGCGGATGATAAAATAAACACTGTAACGTCTCAACATGTTTTGCCACAATTGGCGTACAAAATAATTATAAAATTTATAAATCTATTAAAGAGACAGCTAAAGTTAAAACATACGAAACAATGAACTTATAAATTATCATTTAAAAATCCTTAATATGGTAATAACAATGCTTAATAAGTAATATTTTTAGTTCTTTTTTGAACAAATTATTATTATTTATATTTTTCTTTTTTTGTTGTATTATTACTTCCAAATATATAAACAAACATTCGAAGATTCTGTAAAATTGGCGACGAAAGGAGCGTCCATCAGTTGACTGCTACGAGCTGCTGATGATAATTACGATGGAACTGGATAGAAAGGACTATGTACCTAAGTAGCAAAAGGAATAATGTTTACTTTTTTGCAGAATAGAAGATTCCTTTATTCGGAAAATTCGTGTTTGAAGATGACAGACGCAAGGTACCTACGGAACTTTTAAAAACAATAAAAAAACTTAACCAAATAAGTACCCGATTCAAGGATGATTCCTCCTTATTCAGTGACGCTTGCACAAAAAAAAATGTACTTAAATGACCTTTTTCTAATGACCTTTTGAATTATAGGTCAGTGGTTGCATGTGGAGGGGTGAATGAGAGGTGCGAGGGAGTCATCGTAATTTTATGCTTATGTAAGTGGAAGTGTCGTGGCTACGGGTGAACAGCCCTTCTCTGTGAAGGCTCGAGTAAATAGACGTCATTATGAAAATGCATCGATAGGAGATAAGTGAGATAACCTATGGGTGTGACGTCAGTATTATGTACGAATTAATATTACACAATTCATTGCACTTTTGGCGCGGGACGATCGGGTACTGAGTGTGTATCTTGAGTTTCAGTTTAGACACGATTTTATTATCATTGAACTAGTCTGTTCGGGTGTTTCGTGGTTTAATTGTGATGTATATGTTTTTTGTCGTCATAAACGCGTGGATGTATAATTATAAATGTTCTACTTCCATGGATTTGTGCATACATTGCTTTGTAATGTTAGTGTAGTGCTTAAAAAATAAAAATCAAATTGGCGTAGTAATGACTGTATTTCAATAACAACTATATTAAAATGTCATGGTTTGAAGATCAATGTTAAATAAATAAATTCCTCAGTTTATGGTCTATTCGTTCAGATGTAGTAAGAGTATGGGGAAGCGTAGGTGTAGGCGGAGTAGGCTACAGGCGAATATGCGCTGTAGGCGGAGTAGGCGACAGGCGCGGTGTAGGCGGCCGCTACAGGTGCCGTGTACGCTGCAGCCACTGGAGCTGTGTAGCTCAGTACCAAAGGCTTCGCTGAGGCGAAAGCCAGGAGAGCGACGAAGATCAGCTGCGGAAGAAGGAAGGGTTATTAATAAAACATCGAAATAATTAGTAGTTGATTAACAACAACCACAATCACCAGTACAATCCAGATTTCGTGATTTTATGAAAATTTTAATCCTCAAAAATACCTATATTTATCTCTCTCGCTATATAAATTCTAGTCTTCAAATTGCATCTATTTTAAATTAGTTGGCATATTTAATAGTGCTATAAATCTTGAATACTGATGTAGAAGTGGCATAAGTTTTGGAGATGAGATCAGGGTTACGTTATATCTATGTGTAACTTTATAAGTTCTAAATACAGAGATAAGATCGCTATTTATCAAATAAATGAAAAGACAAATAATGAATAGACAATGAGATGGTAATTATTAATGAGAATTAAAAAAGGACTTACGAATTTGAACATGTTGACTGTTGGTATCTAAGTCCGAGAACTACTGACTAGTGGTGAGACATCCTGGCTAATTTATAAGGAGTCAAAGATGGCCTCATTGTCTTGGCAGAGGCTCGGCGCTCGCGCACCTTGGCGAGACGTGCGCGATCGGGACGCATGCGTGACGTGAATATTTTGACTGCAGTTTGGTTTAGAATATACACAGGTTGATGTTTTTAGGTTTTGTGTAGGTTTGGGATATTTTAGAGGATTGTCTATATCGTCGTATAATACTTCTCGCAGGGTCTTAGATGTAATTTTAAATGTTCTGATGCAATTCAAATTATTATAGACTTATGAGACATGAATAATGAAATGAGGCATTAACTAAAAAAGTGATATCCAATATAGTTACCATTTCTTTTTTAATCTCTGCAATTAGGACCATATACATTGTGAAATTCACTCACTTCGTGCCTGTGCTGAAAATAAATAAATGTTTAGGAAATTTAATAGGACAAGCCCGCCACAACCTCCCAAAACCCTTGTAAGCCAGGATCTACAGTAGATACAACCATGAAAACACCGAAACACTGAAGTCCGGTGCGTCCCAGGGACATGAATAACTGTCTTGGTTCCCGCAACGAAGTGAATCAAAAGATATTAAAAAACGATAGTTTCCAGTTCCGGTGAATTACTGCAGGAGACAGAGTGAATTAAGCCTAAAGGCACAAAGAAAAGAGAAAGTACAAGTGGGTAAAGCCAAGCACCACGAAAATTTTACTAAAATCTAAGTGGGTCCTATTTGTGAGCTGTTATAGTTGCTTGCAGTAATAGGTATGGCAAAAGCGCCTAAACGCACAGAAATTTGGTCTAGATTCCACAAGGTCCGTATAATAAGCTGCACCTGACGAAACAATTAAATTATTTAACATAGTGTTACGTTCATACTGCCAGAGATCACACTCCCAGAGGATGTGATGGGTGGACTGCTCGTATTGCAGCTCTGCTGTCAAACATTGGCACCATGGTGAATCAACAAGTTTAAATGAGAACAATCTGCTTTTAAAGTTGCCATAGCCAGTAAGAAATTGGACAACACAGTGATCCACCTCCAACCATGTCCTCTCCAGCCGCTCATGCACGAATGGGAAGAATTGATATAGGTGGCGGCCCTTAATAGAAGATTTCCATATACACTGTCATTCAGTTATAAGCTCGCCCCAAACGTCCATTAATGGCTTGAACAATCTAGTAATTTTATTTCGATCACGTTGTGCTAGAAAGCTTGCTGTCAAAATAATTAGGTCCGTATATGATCCTGAGCGTAAGAAAAGAGAGACCCTCGGTGGCTTTTGAAATTATCCGCGTTAGCGCATAGAAGTTATTTTTGGCTTTTTCACTAATTGTCTTAATATGTTCAATGAAAGAAAAGTTTTTTCCTATCTTTAGGAAATAACAGAATGATTTCATGATTCGACTGCATGGTTGGCGCGGTGGTTGGGCAACCGGCTGCTGAGCAACATGTAGCGGGTTCGATTCCCACACGGAGCAACTCTTTGTTTCAGGTCTGGGTGACATGTGTATGTGATATTATGTATATTTGTAAATGCATATTTAATGTATAAGTGTAAATTTTAAAATTAATGAAATAATTCACAGTCATCATAACATTTTTATATAATAGATATTTGCACGCCATGATAAATGGCAGACATGTCGTAAGCCACTTTTGTCTAAGATCTTGCATGCTGTATTATTTTAATTCTGTATGCACACACATGTTTGAGCAAATAAAATTCTTATTCTTATTCTCACCTACGACACCGTTGTAACAGGAGAATATCCTATTGTGAGAATAGGATATTCTCCTGTTACAAAGTTAATTTTAAAAGAAAAAAAGAAAAGATTTTATGCCGTTGTTTTATTGGTTAAAGCCGGGACTTTATAGGAACAGATCATTTCCTAAGTTTTCTAGGTCGAGCTGCAATATTTTTTTTTGCAGAGCGTCCCGCGGGAAATTGAATTAACTATGTAAAATGGCAACCAATGGAATGCAGAGTTTTTAAATTTTTTAGATTTATTTGAATTCGTTTTATAAAGCAACTTGATCAAACAACACGAGCATTTAGATTTGAATAGATATGAAGACATTATCGGATTTGTGAATTTTATGCATGTATTTTAAATTGTATGCTATGTCCTTTTATTTTGTCTTATCTTATAAACCGAACTGCATCCGTAATATTGTCTTGGAATAGGAACGACATTATGAGGGAATAAAAAACTAGCTACGGTCTAGTTCGAGTGCAGATGGTCTCAATCGTTATTAATGGTTTTTTTATGGCATAAGCCGGTAAACGAGCAGACGGATCACCTGATGGTAAGCAATCGGCGTCGCCCACGGACACCTGGAACACCAGAGGCGTTACAAGTGCGTTATCGGCCTTTTGGGGATTAGGAG